AATCCAACTAAAATAGGAAAATACTTGGTCAAACCATTTTGTGTTCTTGAACACAAGTAATAGCTCATGCATGCATATCATTAATGACTTGAATATAAGCTTTATTAATCATTTTCTTTTCTAGAACTCTCCATAGCACTTCTCTTGGAACTTTATCATATGCTTCCTCTAAATCAATAAATATCATATATAGATCTTCCTTATTCCCTCTATACTTCTCCATCAAACCTCTCAATAAATGTATAGTTTTCATAGTAGACCTACCCAGCATGAATCCAAATTGATTTTGAGAAACACTGGTATCACGTCACAACCTATGCTCCATAACTCACTCCCATAGTTTTAAAGTATGACACGTTAACTAATTTCTCTATAATTCGCATAATTTTGTGCATCACCTTTATTTTTAAAAATAAGAATCAACACACTCATTCTTCACTCATCTGGCATCTTTTTAGTCTTCAAAATAATATTAAAAAGTTTAGCAAGCCAAAAAACTTCATCTCCTAAGCCCCTCTAACTTCGATTTTTCTAATACGTAGATAAAAATAAAAATCTTTATTTTCATTTAGGATGCTGAGGTCACTAAAGTCACTCGTATTCTCACAATCTTCTTTAAAAAGTTTTGAAAATATCTCATCCACCATTGTTGAATATCTTTTTCTAATAAAAGCATTTTTTTAATCTTCATCCTTAATATATTTCACTTGAACTAAATCCATACTACTATTTATTTGACTAACTTATACATATATCTTTTGTTTTCCTTAGTATCTAATCTATTATATAAATTATTAAAAGCTAAAAATATTTGCATCACATATTGCTTTCTTAGACTCCTTACGGGCCTCTGCTCATTAGTTTAGAGTTTGGTCTTATAATGCCCATTTGCAACTATATTGAATTCAACTTGGAACCTTGATGTTCCACCCTTATATTAAGTAGTATTAGAACCATGACTTTTGTTGCTTCAAGGGATTCGTGTTTCCCATAGTTCTTAGCAATTTCTAGATCAAGTTCAAGGACTTGTGAGTTGTGACTCCATGCAAGATCAACATGGTTAAGTAGGATTTTGGCACTTGACGGTGTTGAAATGCTTCTATTAACTAAGAAATGAAAACTGATTTTGAAGACCTTATGTGAGGCGGACATTGTTAAGTTCCCCATCCGAGTGAATTGTCCCATATTGAGAGTTAAGAAAATCAGTTATTAATACAATAATAGTGTCCGTGATCGAAGTATTAGAAAATTTCAAAAAAAAAAAAAGTCAGCATCCTTCACAGTAAATGAAATTCATTTATAAACAGCAACCTTCTATCAAAATTTGAAAGAGAATCACAGTTCTAAAGTCAAAACCTGTTCGTGCATGATAGATACCGTAACACCAACAAAAGGTTGCTAAAGGTAATATGCAAATCGAAGGCAATGAGGTCCAAAACAGTACCTGCGGAGGAATCCAATTCACCATGTTTATTGCATCCATAGCAGCCTGCCTGAACCCATCAACAGAAGCAAACCACTGTTCTGTAGCCCTAAATATTGTCGGTTTCTTTGTTCTCCAATCGTATGGGTACTTGTGTTCTATAGAAAGCATCAGATATCAACTTGAGGATATTAAACGACGCAAATTTCAGTCTTGAGTTCATAATAATAACCAAAGTTCCATCTTATAGTAAACACTTACTATAAGGTTCTTCTAAAAGAAGCGACATATTGTCATTAAGATACTCCACAACAGCAGCATTTCCATCCCCTAATACATTGAAGCCAATGAACTTCCCCGCTTCTTCAGTAAAATTTCCACTGTCATCAACAGGAGAAAGTATTGGCAGTCCATATTTTAAGCCAGTTATATAATCCTCCTGGCCATGGCCAGGGGCTGTATGAACAAGTCCAGTTCCTGACTCAGTGTTGATGTAGTCTCCCCCCATCACAACAGGGCATTCCTTTCCATCCAAAGGGTGAAGGTACCTATTATCATAGTTTGAAGTTTATGATAAGCATGACTGCATAAAATTTTCTATAGGCAAGAAAATCACTCAACTTCAAAACATTTCGAACCAAATAAGAAGCTGATCAAGATTAGGACAATAAAATTAGAAATGAAGGAAAAGATAAATACCAATCACATGAAGATGTTCATTAACCATATTAATGTTTTTTAGAAATTGAAACCTGCTGTTTTCTAGAGCTGCTCCAAGGAAAGTTTTCTTGATAACGAGCTTCACCCCCCACTTTGACTCAAGTGTAGGTACAAGATCTGATGCCACAATGATGAATGGCTTCTTTTCCTCATTTTTCAAAATTCTTCCTAAACCTGTTTGCTTTCCAGGAGATGACGATGGCTCCTCAAGGACTGACTGTACCTCGGCCACACCATAAATAAGCGAAGGATTTACTGCCACAGCTGCAACAATCGAAGGTCATGTTATTTCGAAAAGAAAAATAATCCCATTTCAAAAGAACAGATCAGATGAGTCAACAAGTGCAACAATGGAAGCAATAGAGGGAATATCCACGCCAACGGCATCACAAATTCCATTGACTAGTTAAACAAATTCATTTAATGCAATATTCAATTTCTACACTTCTTTAATTACAGTACTAGTTATCTACTCAATTGTCAATTATTCTTATGCATAAGAGAACACTAGATTGAAAATTTGTAAACATCTTATTGTAAACCCTTTGATGAAAAAGGATAAACTTTTTAGATTTGCAACTCAAGTCAATGTTTTTTTTCCCCTCCTTCCAAAGAAAATCAAATTAATAATTCTAAATATAAACTCAGTTATCTACTCAATCATCATCATCCCCTTCCATTCCCTCAACTCCTCAAGGTCGAAATAGATTAAGGTTTCCCAGAGAAGCATCAATGTTTGAAAAGATGCCTTGCAGTCAGTCCTGGCATGTGCATAGTAACTTTCTCCTATAAGCTTTTTATCTACATTTGTTTGAGACAAGCACAAGTGAATGCCACACTTTTTTCTCCATTTGCAGGACCAGGAATGCCACATTTACGAGCAGATTGGTAAGCTACTCATCTGCACAAGTATTGTTACAAGTAGTTTTGTAGCTCTCCAGTAAAACTAATATGTAATATATATCATAGTATCACTGATTATTTCTTTAATTAATTCAGGTTTTGTACTAGGCTTGATGTTGGTTTATAATAATGTTATAAATTCTTATTTATTGCAATGAAAAAAAAATTATAAGAGATGTTGACAACAAATATTTTGTCTACAAAATTTAACAAAAAAATAATTGTTGCCTGCAGTCATGATCAGAATCGCTACAACAAGATGGAACTGAGATCCTACTGGAGGATTAAACTGAGATTCTTACAACAGGTTCAACAGATATTCACAGCAAACAAAGCGATTAGATGCAAGCATGTAATACAAGCTCTATGCACTTGGAGAGGTAGCAAGGGGGTCAAGGATATGATAAGAAAGATGGAGAATGATGTTGGTTGTGGAGAGGATTAATTTATAGTTAATTTTAATTGTTTTTATTGACCAAAAAATAGAAACAATAGTTGTTCCAATCAAAAGTAAAAAAATCATATGATTTTTCATACCAAACTTTATTAACAATGTCTATTTTAATCAAAGGAAAAAGCATTTTTGCAAATTTCCTCATTAAACTAAATAAAATTAAATAAAAAATAACAAATTTTTGAAGGAAAAAATAACTTTTCTACTAATATGTTTTTTTTTAGGCTTGCCTGTCACAATATAGCAATATCACAATTTTGATTTGGGTAGGAACTCGGAATATACTTCATACTTCAGGGAATACTATCACAGAAGCTCCCCCATCTCTATGGAAGTAGAAGAAAGTTGATTTTGTGTCACACAGCACAACCAGTATTACCAAACAAACCCGCAATTAATTTCAACAAACAATGATTAGTTTCAATAAATTACCATGAAACTCTTACCTGCATTTGCTGGGATGGTCCAAGGAGTAGTTGTCCATATGGCCAAGCACAAATCTGGAAAAAATTCTTCCAAAATAACTTGAGAAGTAGGAGATGCACTAACCATCTTAAAAATAGCATATATGCTCTTAGATACATGAACATCCGGATACTGCAAAAATCGCATCATGATAGAAGGATTAAGATGGTACCAAACACAGCAACTTATAGATTGAAGAAACAAGCTTTAACTAGAAAAGAGATATGCCCGTAATGAAAAAACACACAAGTCTACAAAATAATGACTCAAATACACGAGTCCACAAGGAAAAGAGCCTAGCCAAACAGTTAAAATAGCAGGATTAAACTAGAAGTTAAAGAGAGATAAAGAAGCCCTTCGGCAATAGGGGAATGAGTGGTGTTAAGAAGGGAGTGTCAAGACGGCCATCAGGCCTGTAGTTCATGGAAGAATTCTACATAGGACTTCTCCTTTAAAAATCAATCTTCCAAGCAAAGAGATTACTTTAAAACTAGAATCAAATTGCTAAAGAATACATATATTATACTAGTAATAATACAGATGCAATTGGTGAACGTAGATTGAGTTGATTATGCTTATTTAATAAAGATGATAATCTTTCAGATATTATCTGTTCAAAATTTATAGTTTTTACTTTCTTTTTATTGTAAAATATAATAATAAATATTTTCGTTTATTGTTCATAATTTTAAAGACTTTTTTTTATTTTCTTTTCACAATTTTAAAGACTGTTTTGATAAGATGACAAAAAAATATAAACACTTTATATCTATAGAATTCAAAACTTCAACTAAGGAAAAACTCTTTATTTTGATTAGATTTAAAATATTTTAAATCCTTTCAATTAGGATTTTTTTATGTTTTTTCAGGATAGTCTTTGTTAATTGGAATTTTGCATAACATTGGGAACAGCTTATCTTAAGACATTCAAGTTAAAACAATAAAATATTAAATTGATATTATATTCATTCCTCATATAGAACATTGAAAATTGAAATAGGAAGACATAATGTGAATGTTAGTCTATCAAATGTTTGCTTATTCTAAAATATATTAAGAAGAACGAATTAAAATGTTCATCGTTCCTTCAAAAAAATTTCTTATATTTTTTTACAATATGAAAGTCATCATACATAAACAAGTGAACATTCAAACAAAAAAAAATGCATAAAAAAATAAAGGAAAACATAAATGTAAAGCTCTTGTTTACATTTCAAAATGATTGAATTGAAAAAAATAAAAAAACATGCAAATAAAAGAAAGAAAATGAAGATTAAAAAAAAGAGATATCAATACATTGATCATGAAAAGGTCATTCCATGATTGAGAGTCTCACTTGATGAAGATGCTTCAAAATACTCCCATGCATCAAAATCGGGTTATCATGAAAAATAAATCAGAATATTCCTTTGATTAGAATTATGAAAAAGAAAATAGGGATTTTATTGTTTGATGGATTAACTTCATTCATTATGGATACATCATAAGCAAATCGATATTTATATCAATTAAATTAAATCGTAGTCTAACTTCAGTCATGGTAGAAACAGGCCAGGGAAATCAGGATTTTGAAAGAAAATAAGAGAATAGATACATGACATGGTAAATTAGGATTTCATCCGAAGAAAAATTAAAGTGTAAATCAAAATTTTCCCAAAAAAAGGTCTGGATCTTTATTTGAAAATTGAAGTTTAAGATTTTATTTGGATGAAATCACATGCAGATTTTTAATAATAACATAGACAAACATTTTGAATAGTTATTTTTCTAAAGAAAAATCAAATGCAATGCTAAAATTAACATTTCAATACCATTGTTAGCTCTAAACAAACTGTAAATATATATTAGTGCAGTAATCCACACATCACTTTTTGATCAAATCAATCAAAGGTGCCACATTATGTACAGCTCCGAACTGTATATCATGCTCTTCAATAACTACAAATAATCACAACTATGATAATCAATTTTACAAAATCCTGGAGAGATTTGAACTAGTTCATACCAAGCAAAGGTAAGTTTTTTAGCAGGGGAGGAAAGTGTTTTTCTTTAATTTTGTTTGCAATGGTATATCACAAAAAAAAAAAAAATTTAGTTACCACATATATTTCAAACTTTACAAAGCACGATGATCAGAAAAAAACTATCAAATTTACCTCTAGCTCTGCCTCAGCAAGTGCCGTGCGGGAGGATGGACTCCAATGGACGGGCTTCCGACCCCTATAGATGTATCCTTTAGTGGCCATCTGGCCAAATACTTCTATCTAACATAGAAAACAAGTAGGAAGAACAATTTTTTTGCTTACAAGTATCAACCAAGATACAAAGAAAACATAAAATTGAGGTATGGGCTGCAAGCAAGCCAAAAGAATATTATAAATCATGAGCGAAAGCACATAAAAAACTTAAAAGGGAGTTAAGTCAATAAGACAATACAACAACATCAAGCCTTTATCCCACTACGTGGGGTCGGCTACATGAATCCTTTTTCTCCATTGTGTCCTATTAAAAGTCAAATTCTCATTTAAATCTAATAAAGAAAGGTCATTCCTAATATTTTCTAACCAAGTCTTTTTAGGTCTACCCCTACTTTTCTTAACACAAGTCAAATCTAATACCTCTACTCTCCTAACCGGATCATCGGAAGGCCGCCTTTTTATGTGACCAAACCATCTAAGGCGACTCTCTCTAATCTTATCTTCTACTGGAGCTACTCCAACCTTTTCATGTATATGCTCATTTCGTATCCAATCTCTAAGGGTAAAGCCACTCATCCACCTGAGCATCCTCATCTCTGTCACACTTAACTTAGTATTATGCTTCTCTTTTAATGGCCAACATTCGGCACCATAAAGCATTGCAGGCCTCACTACCATCTTATAGAATTTTCCCTTAAGTTTGAGGGGTACATTTCTATCACATAACAAGCCCGATGCATTCCTCCACTTCAACCATCCAACTTGAATTCTGCTGATAATATCCCCATCTATTTCACCATCACTCTAAACAATAGATCCAAGATATCTAAAACGTGTACTCTTATTAATGACTTGATCGCCCAAAGTCACAATCCCTTCACTAGGTCTATTACTACTAAAATTACACTCCATATATTCCGTTTTAGATCTACTCAAGCGAAAACCTTTAGACTCTAAGGTTGACCTCCATAATTCAAGTTTATCTTCAACTCCCTCTCTAGTCTTATCAACAAGAAGAATATCATCAACAAAAAGCATACACCAAGGTACATCCTCTTGCAAATGTCTAGTGAGAAAAATTAAAACAAAAACATCTAAGAGTTCTGGATGCCTACTTTGTGGCCCACTATATCCCATCATGAAAAAAGAAACAAAACTGAACATATGGGCCAGTTTAAGCAACATAAAATGCATTTACAGCTTGCTAAAAGAGATAACCTAGCTTAAACAATAAAAACATAAAGAAAGATCAAGCTCGCAACTTAACAGCTAATGAAACTTCTAGTGAAGGTACAGGAAATTACACAATGGAAAACAGGGAACCTTAATAAGCATCGCATCCAACCTGTGCAGCTTCATATTCTGGAGAAAGTGTTAAATAAGGATTGCTCCAGTCTGCCCACACCCCATAACGCTGCAAAAACCCATTTAAAAGCTAGATGTAAGCAGCACCAGAATGAGATAAGCACTTCAAAATATCAAGAGAATAAAGCCAAAAAAACAGATCCAAAATTTAATAAGCCTGGATAAGTTGAAACCTTAAAAGACTTCATTTGAACATCGACAGTCTCTTTTGCAAATTTAGCAGCACTTTCCCTCAATTTTAATGGTGTCAAGTCCTTTCGAGCAGCTTGATCCATCGACTGCAGTACTGTGATGTTTTACAAGAACATTAAATACACCAGTCAAGTGGTGCTCTAGCCCAACATATATCAGGTATATTGAAATTTGTTTAGGAACACAAAAAAATTTGCATAAAATATTTGAGAAACAAGAATTGTCATGGAGAATGAGACAATCAGAACAGCTTTCATTGTAATAAGACTTCAACAACAATATCAAAAGAACTCAAAGATTTTGCCCTATTTTAATGTGATCTATATTCTACTACTGAAAAAGGATCAAATGGTCAACAACTTTGGATTATACACATAATCTTTTTTTCAAGGATATGATCAATTGCGCAGGAACCTTTGGATCATTTTTACTATAATGAACACAAAAACATTCTATGAAGCAATCCTATAATAGTGGAGTATGCATACCGGATACAAACCAGATACTTGTTGCACTGAATTTAACAGTATATAATGCTGAATAACCATTTTGGGAAAAAAATTTAATACAATAAATACAACAAGCATCAATTTAAAATTCCCATAATGGATAATTGATATGTTTCTAACATAAATATATGACAGACAACAGTATATTGTTAAGCTTACAGGATAACTACTATATATTGCTTTCTATTTCTGTTCTCTAAAAAGAGTAGAACCATGCATCTATTGAAAGTATAGATGCATGAGGGTAAAGCTATATTCTTTTTTTTTATATTGTGTTTACAGGCGTGCATCAGCATGGATGGATAGCTTGACCTGTATGCACCTGTCTAATAGTACAATGATATACATGCATGTACATTGTATCTATACATAAGTATAGTACATGAATATGCATGCATCCATTTATATACAAAAGATCGCCATGTCCATGATCTCTATTAAAGCAGGAACACTTGCACTATATTTAACCAAGAAATTGACTTTTGATCTTACTATTAACCACATTGCATGAGTTTGTGTGACCAACATAGCCATATGAATTGTTGCTTTCATACAGATTGATATCTATTATCAAATATAACTCCTCAAATCATAAGATTAAAATTGGATCCTGCTAGACCGGTCCGCACGGGACCGGCATTTCGCAATAGAGGCGGGATCTCCGCCTCCTGCGGAGATCAGGCAACGCCCAATCGGAGCCTTTTAGGAAGGATTTTTGAGGGTTTTGAGAGAAAAATTTGAATGTAGGGACTGTTTAGGGATTTCCTTTTGATTTGTATGCATTAAATATTTGGTTTTCCTAGGGTTAGGGCATCTTGAATTTGTATGAAATTTGAGATATCATAGATTTAGGTTTCCTTTGGGCTCTAGTGGCGTCTAGAGATTTGGGAGAGATCGATCCTCCTCTCGAATAGAGGATCAAGTATATCTTGATATTTTCCGTTTCGCTTTCATCAAGTAATACAAATTATCTACTGTTTTTGTGATTTTGTGCGGATTTTTGTGAAGAATTCTCGCTGTTTTTAGAAGATTGATAGGAAATACTTGCAATCTACAAGTGTTTTCTATCAGATCCATAAGCACAAACAGCACGCATATGCCACTAAAAAAATGATGCTTGGTAATCTCTAGTATGTGCTGAATCTACATCAAAACCAACTATAATATGTTTATTCAAAGTCAAATCACTTAGTTCAGCCAAAAGAAGGTATAAAGTCCAACCTTTAGGAAACGAAATGGAAAGCAAAAGAGCGAATATTACCTAACAAGGGAGAAGAACAAGAAACAGATTAGATAGCAAAAAGTGTGAAGCATCATCCACGTGAAAAACAACTTGAGCATATCCTTGGCAATAAAATTCCCTTTCTAGATGTATTAGACTAAAACCTCCTCCCTAAGCTTTATTGTGTAGCAGTAGAATAGATTTTTACAGACTTAAAGTCAATCACTTTCAATTATATGATAACATTAGTGTGAATCTTCCTTCTATCTCAAGATTCTTCTTATTATCGATATTATAAAACCCATCAAGCAACTTGATTATGTGATAATAGTGGTACTATTAATGCTACAAGTCCCAAACCATAGGCACATGCTTGTGCATTCAGCACAGCACAAAAAACTTTGCACAAGGCAAATATGCAAGATGAGCACATATTAATAGGCATATTTGTGCAATATATCAATATTTGTGTATTATACCACCTACAAAATCATCATGAAATGGTCATAGTAAAGGCGATGCCAATGGTTTTCAAGATGGTTAGCCTGCCTGACTAAAACCATAAATACAACCACAGAATAAAATAAATTAGATTTACCAGGGATCGAATCATATTTTTATTGGCCAAATATTCTCCACAAAACACTTTTATAAAAAATAGTACTAAATATAAAAGGATACATGCCTTTTAACTCTATTGGAAGGCCGTGGCAATCCCAACCAGGAACAAACTGAACTTTATAATTTTGAAAAAGCTGCATGAAGACACCACTATTAGTCACACTATGACATCATAAGAGACGCATAAAAATTGCCAACATCAAATGAGCCATGTTTAGGCAGCAATAAGAAAATTATAATTATCAAAATAAGAGAACTATAGTATCAGACAGAGATTCTGAAGTGTCACAAAAAAACAAGAAAGTTGATAGGAAATAAATGCACGTATAATCAAATTAGCAAACCACAATGGAAAATTGGGACGAAAAACAAACCTCAAAAATTTTTATTGCAGGAAATATGAAAGAAAATAGCAAGATACAATTGGATCTTCAATTGGAGAGGAAGATCCGGCTCTCCCAAATCTCTAGATACCGCTAGAGCCCAAAATACCTTAGAACAATCTAAAATTTAGCAAACATCAGATAACCTAATCATAGGTTTACAATACTAGTTAAAGCATACAAAATAAGCAAAATAGCCCAAAAAGCTCTCCTAATTTGAATTTCCCTCTTAATCCCCCCTTTAATTTCCTATTTTAATTATTGTTGGGCTTTTGGACCCTACCCCAAAGGGGGGCCGAACTATGCTGGGCGAAACAAGAGTTTCGCCTCCTGCTGTATACCTGGACCGGTCCAGGGACCGATCTAACAATACCCCCTCCCAAAGACTCACATTGTCCTCAAGGTGAAAAGACGGGAACTGATGCTTCACCCTCTGGTATGGCTTCCGGTGGCGTCATAGCCGGGTAAGTTCTTCCATTTGATCATCACTTCCTTGATCCCTCCTCCCTGTCGTACCCCTTTTAGCTCCAATGGTTCCAACACCATCTCCAAATCCTCAGTCAGTGTCACCGGTAACTCTGAACCAACTGCATGATCTCTTATAGCTCTTCTCAACTATGAGACGTGAAACACTGGATATATGGTAGTGGTCAGGGGTAACCTCAAACGATAAGTCATTGCTCAAATCCTCTCCAATATCTCATAAGGGCCAACATATCTTGGAGCCAGCTTCTCATTCCTTCTGTTAACTACTATCCTCTATCTGTAGGGTTGAAGCTTCACTTTCAAAATGGATGTCCTTCTTGCGCCCATCCATCTGCTTCTTCATAATCTGTTGAGCGCTCAACAAGTGCCTTTTCAATTTATCCAACACCATATCCCTCTCCTCCAAGTATTGCTCTACTGAAGAAACTAGTGTGCTACTCTACCCAAAGTGCACCAAATGAGGCGGGTCTCTTCTGTACAATACTTTGAAAGGGGTCATCTGGGAAGCCGAATAATACAAAGTGTTTTACAAGTACTCCACCCATGCTAGCCACTTGTCCCACAATCGATGTGTCTCTAAAGAAAAACATCGCATGTGTGTCTCCAGGCTCATGTTTACCACCTCCGTTTGTCCATCTGTCTGGGGGTGATAAGCGGTGCTCCTCTTTAGCACTATCCCCTACAGCCTGAACAACTCTCTCCAAAAATGACTGAGGAATACCTTATCTCGGTCAGACACTATAGACTCTGGTATCTTATGTAGTCTAACCACCTCTCTGATGAACGTTGTTACCACTGTCACTACCATGTAAGGGGTCGTAGAGGAATGAAATGAGTATACTTTCTCAATCTATCAACCACTACTAAAATCACTGTAAACCCCTCAAATCAAGATAACTCGACTATAAAATCCGTAGTGACCTCCTCCCCCACTCTATATGGAAGAGCCAGGGGTTGAAGTAATCCCCATGAAGTCATAGCCATGTATTTGTTCCTATGGCATACCTCACACCTAGCCACCATCTCCTCCACATTCTTGTGCATTCCCTTCCAATACAACTTTGTTTCCAATCTCTTGTATATCTTCTGCACACCTGAATGACCTCCAATAGCACTCCCATTGAGCTCTTGTAGCACATGGGGAATATGGACCGAGGTCCGTGGCAGCACAAAACTCCCCTGATATAGCAATCTCTCCCCTTCTAAGGAATAGCCAGGGTGGTCATTCTCATCCCTCAGTAGATATGTTTTAATCCTTCCCAGCTCTTCATCATACACACTCCCCTCTTTAATAGCCCCCCAATCCAGCATCAGTTGCATCAATATGACTAACTCCTGGAGTTCCCCCACACATCTAGACAAAGCATAAGCCGCCTTGTTCTCTAATCCTGATATATATTGAATTTCAAAATCATAGTCCAACAACTTTGACAGTCATCTCTAATGCTCCTCGGTCACCATCCTCTGCTCCAACAGGTACTTCAAGCTCCTTTGGTCCTGCTTGACAATAAAATGTTGACCCAACATATAAGGTCATCATTTCTGAATAGCTAACACAATGGTCATTAGCTCCCTCTCATAAACTAACTTCAACCTAACTCTGGCTATCAACATCTGGCTGAAGTAAGCTATGGGCATGAGATTCTGCATAAGCACTACCCCCAATCCATACACTAATGCATCAATCTCTACCACGAAAATCTAACTGAAATTCAGTAGGGTCAGTACCTATATTGTGGTCATAACCTTCTGCAATTTCTCAAAGACCTGGGTAGTTGCCTCTCCCTATAAGAAGCTATCCTTCTTCAATTGTTCTATCAATGGCCAGGCTATAGTGTTGTCATCACCTCACAAATCTTCTGTAATACTCAGTGAACCCTAGGAAACCCCTCGACTCCCTCAGATTCATTGGCATAAGTCATTTCAGTATTACCTCAAAATTGGCCTGATATGCAGCCACCCTCTCCCGCGATACCACATGCCCAAAGCACTCCACAATGGCCTATGCAAAACAATACTTCTTCAATTTGGCCCTTAGTTGATGCTCCTGTAACACCTCTAAGATCACCCTTAAATGCTCCAAATGCTCTTCAGTTAACTTGTTGTAGACCCGGATGTCATTAAAGAAAACCAGTACAAACTTCCAGAGGTATGGTCAGAACACTCTATTCATGGACTGGAAAGTAACAAGGGCATTGTTGAGGCTAAATAGCATCACTAAGAACTCATAGTGTCCCTCATGTGTCATTAATGCAGTCTTCAGGATATCCTCCTCTCATCCTGATATGATGGTACCCAGACTTCAGATCCATCTTTGTAAACACCACTGCTCCACACAGCTCATTTATCACCATAATGAGAAATTTTTCTGGTATAGTCTCCTTATTTAGGGCTCAGTAGTCCACACAAAATCTCTGGCTCACACCCTTCTTGACCAGTAAGATTGGGCTAGAAAAAGGACTTACACTTGGTCTGATGATCCCTGTCTCGAACATCTCTCAAATCAGCTTCTCAATATCATCATTCTAAATTTGAGGGTAACGGTAAGGCCTGACAATAATCAGTAACACCCCCTCCCTCGGGGTGATGGCGTGAACTTGCTCCCTCAGTGATGGCAATACTTGAGGTGGCTGAAAGATCTCACTGAACTATTGTATAAGTGGTTGTATTGTAGGAGGAATGTCTCCCCTCTCCTCCAATATGATCCCCTCTAAGCTCTGTAGTTTCACTAGAAATCCTCCTCCCACCTCCTGTATGGCCCTCACCATGGCCTTGGATAACCCTACATCACCCATAATCATCACCCTTATTCCTTCACCATCAGCTTCATCATCAGCGCTCCCCAATTAACCATGAGATCCCCCAAGGTATGTGGGCACTTCATCTCCAGGATGACATCAGTGCTCCCTAACTCCAATGAAAAAAAATTACTCCCTCACCTAGACCCCTTGTATGGTCATAATCACTCCCATACACACTCCTCTCCCCGTCTCCACCTTCCCCGCGCCCATTATCACTCAACAACACCCTGTGTTTACCAATTGGTCTACGACCTGGGTGGAGAGGAAATTGTGGGTCGCCCCACTGTCTATCAGCATCACCACCCCCTGACTCCTCTTTCTACTTTCTAATTTCATGGTGTGATTTGGAGTGAATCTCACCACTGAGTTAAAGGAGACATCTGTCATGTCCATATGCAGCTCTTTGTCCACTAACAATGCCTCACTCCCACCTCCCTCCTTAGCTTCCTCATCATCACAGACAGTGAGAACCTGAAGAGTTAGGTCCTTACACCTATACCCTGATGTATATCTCTCATCATATTTGAAGCACAATCTCTTAACCCTCTTCTCTTACAACTCCTTCTCAATGAACTTAATGAAATTTACCCAGATTCCACCTCCTACAGGCTTCTCCCTTGGGGTCTCTTGAAGGCTACCTGGTATCTTCCCCTTTGATGCATAAAAAGTGGTGGTCATCATGTACAAACCTCCTGAGCTATTGTCTCTAGTGTCTATCTTCAGGTGCTTCTGGTCCTCCACTAATTGTGCTATCTCCATAGCCTCTTCTAATTCATGAGGCCTCACCACTTTAACTGCAACCCGGATCTCTAATTTGAGCCCTTCCATGAAGTTCCCCTCAAGCACAATCTCAGAAAGCCAATCCAATAGGCTAGGAAGGTACTCAAACCTCTCACGATACTATACCACTGAGCCTTCCTGCGTCAGGGCGAAAAACTGCTCATAAGAGTCCTTTCCCCTGTTGGTTCGTAAACATTACAACATGCTGTCCTTGAACTACCTCCAGCTCCAAATGTACTGCCTCATATCTCTCCACTCGTACCAAGCCAAAGTCTTCCCCTCCAAACATAGGCCAGTTGTCATACACTCCTCCTCCACCAACCCATTGACGGCGATATACCTCTCCACCTTATAGATCCACCCATGAGAATCCTCTCCCTAAAAGATAGGCATCTTCAGTTTCTTTACCCTCGAATCTCCTCCGTTCCCCCTGAATCCTCCATAACCTCCCATTCTCTGAGGGGGTGGTTCCCCCTTAGTGTCTTGATTCTCCCTTCTACGCTCGTACCAGACCCTTCTTCGAAATCCCCCCTCTTCTTGCAAAAACAACACCTCTTCGCTCATACCAATCACTCATCTCCTCCCTAGAAATAGGCTCTATGGGAGTCATTCCACATTCTCCCTCCAAAATCTCCACCTCTTGATTTTCCCCTCTCCTTATCGAACTAGAGTTTCCACCCCTTCCTTAGCCATCGATAGCTCCCCTCACCTCCAACGATGTTGTTTTGGGTAGGGAAAAGCAACTTCCTCAACATTTTTCCACCACAACAAGCTTTTCATCCATCTTTTTATGGACAGATGAAAATTCATTTTCGAACTCCATAATCTTTTCCACAAAATTTGATTTCAGTTAGTCTATCTCTCCTTCCAATACTTCTACTTTTCTTCAGACCATAGGTCCCTGAATCGATGCTCTGGTATAAATTTGATAGGAAATAGATGCACTTATAACCAAATCAGCAAGCTGCAATGGAAAATTGGTACGAAGAAAACACCTCGAAATTTTTTATTGTAGGAAATATGAAAGAAAATAGCAAGATACAGTTGGATCTTCAATTGGAGAGGAAGATCCGGCTCTCCCAAATCTCTATATGCCGCTAGAACCCAAAACACCGTAGAACAATCTCAAATTCAGCAAATATCAGATAACATAACCCTAGCATTACCATACTACTTAAAGCATACAAAATCAGCAAAATACCCAAAATAACCCTCCTAATTTGAATTTCCCTCCTAATCCCCCCTTTAATTTCTTGTCTTAATTATTGCAGGGTTGCTGAACCCCACCCAAAGGGAGGCCGAACTATGTTGGGCAGGCAAGAGTTCTGCCTCTTTCTGTGTACCTGGAACGGTCCAGAGACCAGTCTAACATAAGTCAATCCCACATCTCAAACAAAGAATAAAAGGAAAGGAACAAAGTGCAATGGCATGATTGAAATATTCACATTCAATAATTCTAGAAAACAGGAGCTTCTTAAAGATGCCTTTAACGAGATGAGAAAAGGCTGACCAAATCCGTTCAGCACAAGCACTTCTACATAATGGCTGCAGCAAAAAGATAGCTAATAAGCTCAAGTAAAGTATGATTTAATAGCACAAGTCAGGAACCATAAGGAGATAGCCTAAGACAAGATAAAACTTGCTCCACTTTACTGTGTAATAAAAATTTTAAGATAGACAATTACTGCTAAATTCAAGTCTTCAACTCATGTTAGCATCCATACAACAACAACAAGCCTTTATCCCACTATGTGGGGTCGGCTACATGAATCATCTTTCTCCATTGTGTTCTGTTAAAGGTCAAATTCTCATCTAAATCTAATAAAGAAAGGTCATTTCTAATATTTTCTAACCAAGCCTTTTTAGGTATACATCTATCATTCTTAACATAAGTTAAATATAATACATCTACTTTTCTAACCGAGTCATCAGAAGGCCGCCGTTTTATGTGACCAAACCATCTAAGGCAACTCTCTCTAATCTTATCTTCCACTAGAGCTACCCCAACCTTTTCATGTATATGCTCATTTCAGATTGCTATCCCCCTGTGCCTCTCCCTCGCTCTATCTATATGAGCTGTGCACCATCTACGGTGATTACAATACACTGAAATTGGTCATGTTAGCATCCATGTTCAAAAAAAAAAACAAACTCATATTAGCATCTAACAACATGAAATTTCACGGAAAAAATGAACTTATCCGAGCATGCTTTATGTTATGGAAAGTCCTATTGATGAACCAGTAAAGAAAGCAGGAGGAGATGCAAAGCTACCAGTCTACCAAGCAAGAGAGGGTATGAAAAGGTTTGTACGAGGGAAAGATGGGGATGAGAGAGATGGGCACAAAGGATAGGGTTGTCTGTATTTTGGGAAAATAAGGAAAAGATTGATGAGTGTTGTGTGTGTTCTGGGAAAAGAAGGAGAAGACTGATAAGTGTAAAGTGAGGATGGTAGATTTTCAGATTATTATTGTCAAGACAATTGCTGAGGTATTTGATATCAAACAGCTTAGAAGAGAATAAAATCTCAATTAGCTTGGGCAAAAAGTAATGCGAAAGAAAATGGAAATTATAATGCAGTAAGATATGTGAATTCATCAACGAAAACAACCACCATCACATTATTTCATATTTCCTGGATGTGCTCGAAAAACCACTTTTGTATACTACTTACAGTTAAGAATTGCATTTGGTACTGGTTCTAAGTAATCTATTTGAACAAATAATCAAGTTAAGGGAGCCACATCAAAGGGCAATAGTCAAAGCATCGAACCAGGCTTAAGACAATTTTGTTGGTTAGATTTTAAACTTAAATGCCAAACATGAGAGAAACAAGCAAAAGTGGGAGAAAATATGATTTTCCCAACCCACAGCTTGTAAATTATGAGCTTTACTCTGCCTCATCATCTGTTATTCGATCAAATTAGAAAGCTCCAATGGACTTATAATTTCCACATCTGAAGCTTATAGCATCTCTTTACACTTTTTGTGGTTTGGAATTTAAGTTAATTTTATTTATCATCGTTCAATTTTCCGACCAGTAAGTATTCTTATTACCATCTTCTCCCTTCAATTTTCAACTCTTAGATATAATATTTCAATAACTTTTTTTTCTGACCATTTCTTAACTTTTTCTACAGCCTCGTCCCTCCAGCTAAAAGAAAGAAGCTTCCGCTTCTTGAAACATCGATTTAAAACAGAAATTTGATGTAATTCAGTCAGAACATAATATGCAATATGCAAATCAGTTAAGCCCTTATAACAAGCACCATAAACACACAAATAAGGACAGTTGCCTATTTGAGCACTAACCCCCCATAGTTGTAACATACTCATGAATTGCGGCGTGGAAAGAAAAATCACCTTATACCGATTAATAATATCCTTCAAAATCTTGTTCAGAGCATGTCCCATGTGCAACTTTCCATTAGCATAAGGCGGTCCATCATGCAAAATGAAAGTTACCTGCCAAAAACTTGTTCAAACAAAAAAATTCAAGCGCCTGCTTCCAAATGTGTCATCATATGTCAAACAAAGAGAGATAAATTATCAAATATAATTGCAAAGAAACAAAACACACCCCTGTATTCCTATCCACAACCCGCTTGAAGACCTCATTGTCCTCCCATATTTTTTGAATCTCAGGCTCCCTCACAATCGAATTTGCCCGCAAGCCAAAATTGGTTTTTGGAAGATCGATAGTGTGCTTGTACGTTTCCACAACTTGCGTTGATCCTTACATGAAAACCAAAAAATAAGATGAACCATAAACCAATAGCCTCATATTATAATAATATTTAAGTATTTTATTTATCATGATAGGTAATCATGTTTTATGCCAAAAACTAATTAAAAAGTAAATGCATACCTTTGGATGACTTCTTCGCCGACATTGCTAGTCCGTGAGCCCTCTGCTTCAAATTAGAAGTGAAAAACTCTCTAAACTCAATTTGAAAAAGCCCAGGGGATAAAAGTAGTCTCAAAGACGAAGTTTTGTCGAGGGATAATTGATTTCTTCGAGATAATGCCTAGAAAAACAAAAAACAAGTTAAAAATTGAGTAGCATCAACATCATCATTACCTATATCCCAACTACTTGAGGTTGGCTAAAAATGAGCTATTTAAGTTGCTTAAGTAATAGCCAAATAATGTGGGGAAAAACATGATAAGATTACAAAATAAAGGAACATGAGTCATTTAGTTTTGACATTACTCAGAGCTAATAAGGATGCAATGTACATGTTTAAGAGAGAAGAAGACTTTAAGTATGATCTCAGTCTAACTAATTTTATATGGGATGGCCATAGAGCTAATTAGTGGAGGAATAAGTAAGGGTGCAAATAAATGTAACATTTCCGTATTTATTCAGTATTTGTATAATCATAAGAACTAATAAATAACCATATATGTGACTTTAATCCTCATTGTGCTAAAGAACTATGTTACTTAAGAGTTGTCAATATGGATTGTTATTTTACTCATTATTATGATTCATTATTTGTTTATTTATTTATTTAAATAAACTAAACATTTAACTAAAATACCCTAAATTACCAAAATGCCACCTATTTTACCTGCAATTATCACAACACCCACTAAATTTTTATTTTCCATTGTACCCTTACACATGGAAGAAGTTATTGAATTCTTATGAAAATGGGGTAGTTTAGTGGAAAATAAAGTGGAGAGGATTTAAGGAAAAGAGGGGAGAGAAAGCTTCATTTCTCGTGAAATTTAGAATAAAAGGGCGAGTGATGGGAACGAGGAGAAGATAAAACCCTTAAAGAGAGAATTTGTGAAAAAGAAATTCAAGGATTTCATCCTAGATTGACCGTTATCTAGGTAGAACACATTTAACCTACCCTACCCTAGGAGGAAAATTTAAATTTCTTGATTGCATGTTTTGTTGATTTTGATAATGTAGTTCCCTTATGGGTGATGTAATAAAATGTTAATATGAAAATGATGACCTTCATGTTGATATATGCTTGATTCTATGGCATATACAATAATTTCCAGTGCTTCCCCTTTGATTTTAATTTATGGAAGCTTGAATTTTAAGCTTTTATGACTTAAGTGTGGTCTATTGTATAAATTTGCCACATTATCTTATCTACTTGATACTCCTTGTACATGGTTGTATAGTGATGAGCCTTTATGAAATGTAATCTTTATATTAATGCAATATACTTATATATTTAATGTAAAAGAGAGCAAGAGGACAATTTGATGAATTTATCAATTGATTGTAAGAGAGAGCATGCGGAAAAGCTCTCTGAACCAGTGTATAGCGAAGATTTTACACACACATAAGTTTAGGAATATTGTGTAGCCGACGGAGTATTTATTAGAAGGTATCATATCGATTCTACAGTGACTAGGATGACGGTCCTAGTAAATGATAGGGAACGCCAGGTGTGCAACTATGATTTGAAAGGTGATGCATCCTATATGAGTGAAGATGTGTCCATAAGATCCGTATAGTTGATTGTATGATATGAAGTGAAGGATTTCACTTATGATGTTCTCATATTATTTTATTGATCTTATGATATAATTATAAAAATTGTGCATAAATATGTGAATTAATGACATTGACATGGACACAATGTTAAGATTGGCATTGATATGATCAAGATATTACATGACCCTGGCATTCATGATCCATGGCTTGACACGTTCATATGTTTGTGATTGTTATATGATAATGAATAAATAAATAGATGCCAGCTATTATGTATATTGTTGTACTCTATGGAATTGAATCATACATTAGTGATTGAGAATTGTACTGGGCTTTTTGCTCACCATTATGTACTATGTGTATGTTTGCTTTCAAGAAAGGTTAAAGGCCCTAGCAAATGAGTAACTAAAGTGATATATTGATCAAATTGCCCTTGGTTGAGGTACAATGTCATTTGAATGATCTTTTGTAATATGCATGAAATGATGTAAAAAGAGATGCATATTTTGTGTGTACTTCATTAAACAATAATGAAAGTTCATCTTTTTATGTTTAATAGATCTATGTATGTTAAATGATTGGTCCATGTGAATATGATAATGCTAATATTAATGATAATGAAAATTGAAGTGTATATATGATGATGATCATGTAGTATTATGTTGGAAGTTTACCCCTTCGTCACATCCCATTCAATGTGGTCCGTCACAATTTGAGAGCTACCTCAGGTCAATAAATAGCTACATACCCATTCAGTTGAGATTTATTTAAGTTCATTCACTTAGATAATTGTAACTACAATGAACCTGATTTATGAAGCTTCGTATATAAATAAATAAGCCTAAACATTAATGTGTTCGTCCATTTATGTTTGAAAATATTTACTTTTTTTTTTTAAAGGTAGCTAAATATAAGTTATATTAAAAGCTAATATATAATGCTCATTAAGACACTTATATAATTTGTTCCAATAAGTTGTAAACTTGCCTATGTCCTATAAACTAGTGAAATATATTAATATAGGCATGAATAAGATGGAAGCTTGATAGTGAAATATATTAAAATTTTGGATTTAATTCCATCTTTATTTTTAATCAATATTTGAATTACAAATAGAAAAAATATACTAAAGGAATTATAACAATTTTTTTATGCAACTATGCAGCTGTTATATTTATAATAAGGATATATTTTTAAACAAAAGCATCTCAAATATAACTAATCGAGTTAGATTAAAGGACAATTTCAACTCAAGTTCACTAACCAAGTAAATAGCTAGCACAAGAATTTAAACCTTGGTTCATATTCAAGCTCAACTTAAACTCTATGAAGACTTTAAAAAAAAGTACGAGGAGAGCATTCCAAAGCTTGGCTCAAGTTATTTAAAGCTTCATAGTTATGTTAGCAAGCAATGGTGTTTGTTTCATCTCTTTTTCTTATTTCTCTTTTGGGGAATTTGTAAGTTTAATGTGTATCATAAAGAAGGCTCAAAAACAAATTTAATTTGAATCAAAATAAAAACAATCAAACAATACTCGAATCATATCAAAATTCAAGTTGAATTGTTTTCAACCCATTTTCAATCTCAAAGTCGGCAAGTTCCAATTTAAATACTTCATTACTTTCTTTTTCTTTTTCTTTTTTACTTGGGCAAACTCATTGCTATAAATGAGGCCTTAAAATGAATCAAGTCAGCTCCAATATGATTCAAGTATATCCTTGCGTTAGACTAGAATCATGTTAGATTTGATCATTTTCAATATGAAAATTCAAGATCATCGACTTACCTCCTAAGACAAACCATGCATGCAGACCAAGTTGATGGAAATTGGAAAATTGGATCATTCATCCTTGGCTTCAGTAGCACTATGAACTAGAGTTTAGAGTTTCGGAATTCAAAATTCATGACCATTAAAAAAGGCAAGCTGATTTTCCACTAAACTCATTCCACAAGAAAGCTTGATGTCATCCTCATTTCCTTTCTTTCCAACAATTAGATGTCTAAGGCTCTATTTGATTTTAAAGAATTGAAAGAGAGGAAACGACAAGAAATGAGAATGAAAATGGTAAAGGAATATAACTGAAATTAGTTTTTCACCCGCTTGCTTGTATGGTTAAGGAGAAATTCAGTAAAATTTATTTTATTTCTCATTTTATTTGGTTAATAAGAAATTGAGTTTTTGTTTCATGTGAGTTGCTATGATGAAAATATAAATATTTCTTCCTCACTAAAGTTGCATAGGGAATTGTAAATTAAAAAAAAACATTTGTTATTGTTTCCTTATAAAACCCACAATTACATATGAATTACATCAGAAACAAACATCCAAAATGAAATTATAAATAATATGCATATGCATTTTCTCCAGTTCCTTCAAATTTAACATATCCTGACAGGAAAAAGTAATTGGGTAAGTGATTGAGTATTGTCTTCGCTTCTTCTTACCTTGCCACTACAAATAAACTTGATTGCTTCTTCATGGTAAAACACAAATTAATATTTCTTTCTCTTTTCTTCTATTTCGACTCTCAATCAAGAAAGGTAACTTTTTTACATGTCCCTCGTAAGACTCACAACTAGGATTAAAAAATCTAAATTATTTCTCCTCTTCTTTTGTATCACCCCCAAATCATTTACCTTCTTCCCTAAACTGCAGCCAGACTGTTAAAAATCATGAACTTTTTATTTTTTTTGTGCGCAAAAAGAGAATAATGGGAAAGCTTTTGCCTTCAGTGGGTTCCCAGCAGAAGCACACTGAGGGGGTAGAATCGCCGGAGACAGAGAAGGGATGATGTGGGAGATTAAGTTTGAGAGGCCAAGTGAGAGAGTAGCTGACCAATGGACGAACGCGGGGTGTCAGCGACGAGAAGAAAGGAGGGACTGTGGCAACCATCAGCGAAAAATGGACGGTAACGGCGGCGGATGCAGAGAGACGGCCTTGGTGGTTGTGGCGCCGTAGGTGTTTTCGAGTATGCGCCGCGTCGTCGGAGGGCTTGGGTAATGGACGGGTCCGAGCGGATGTGGAGGGAGGGGCTATTCTTGGCCTTTTCGTTTTAGTTTTTATCTATAGAAATTTTATATTTAAATCGGAAATTTTGTTTATTAAACATATAAATTTTGTAACATACATGTAAATCCTCTTTTTATCTGAGCATAATAGCTAAAGTGTAATCTTTTTTTAATTGAATTCATATCAATTCATTTACTTTATGATATTTAAATATTTTATTTTATCAAAATAAACATTTCTATGATAAAAATATAGAATTAATATGTTTATTAATTAAGTAAATTTAATGTTTAATTAATCATAATAATTGGGCTAAAATATTTTAATGTTTCATTTGAGATGATTTTTTTTATTGATTCTTAAAATAAACTTTTAGTAAAAAATTATGTTTTAAGAAGCAATAAAAAACCAACTCAAATGAAAAATCTCCGAAAGATTTTTTTCTTTTTTTATTTGTTGGTATAATCTTTTCTTTTTATCAATTAACCTAAAATCAATTATTAACAATGTAATACAAATATATTTTTTAATTAAAATGGGTTATTATATCGGGTTTGAGTTGTTAGCGGGTCGGATTTGGGTCCACTTTTGGCCCATTTATAAAATAGGTCGGATTCAGGTTGACCAAATTCTAATCGAGTCAAATTTGGATCAGATACGAATTCTGACATGTTGACTTGTCTTGACATCCCTATTCATAATAATAAAATTTGAAGAAATTATGTCACTTATCTCATTTCTTATCTCATTTCTTGGAAGAAATATGACTGAAGTTTTATTTCAGATAAGCACCAAATAAATTTTGGTTAAGGTTGAGACATTGTTCATAAAATTAATAAAACAGTTGAGATTTATTGGAGCACTCAATGAAATATTCTTTGACACATGTGGAGGCAAATTATTAGGTACAGTCACCGGATCTAAAAATAGGTCTGGACATCCAATAAAAACCTGTCACGTGGACTGTGCTTTGACTATGCTTTTTGACTGCACTTTGACTGCGCTTTAGGTGCGCTTTGACTGCTCTTTAGGTACGTTTTTTACTGCGCTTTACCTGCACTTTACATGCGCTTTTGACGTGCTTGACTTAAATTTTTGCGGATACGTGTACATTCCACGTGGCAAATTTTTAGTGGATGTCCGGACCTAGAAATAGGTCCGGTGACCGGACCTAATAATTTACCGACACATGTGATAGTTTTAACATATTTGATGACATGTCAAATATAGATATAGATTTGAATAATCATGTTTGAATAAGATATTGTTGTGGTCATGTATTTGAGTCGTTCAACCTGCCCCAAAAATATATATATCATTTGAAAAAATAGTTTAAATTTATGTGAGCAGTTAACCAAGTTAAAATTTATTTAAACACTTAATCAAATATTCCTCACGAATCTTTGAAGATAGTTTGAAATCTTTGAAGGTAGTTTGAAATGATAATCAAATATTCCTCACGAATCTTTGAAGATAGTTTGAAATGATCAATAAAGGGTTAGAAATCAATTCGATTAAGTGCTTGAATATATTCGAATAAGCTATTATTTTAAAAAAATTATGAAATAGTTGAAACTTGTTCAAACATGTAATCGGTTTTTTTTTCATACATATTCAGATATCTAAAACTGAATATATGGAATGTACTTTTAGTAATAAATAGATTTAGTGGGGGGATTGTGACTTTGGTTGATCAGGTCATTAATAAGAGTACACATTTTAAATATCTTTGGTCTATTATTCAGAGTGATGGAGAAATGGATGGGGATATTTGTTGCATCATGGAATATTCGTGGCGCTATAGAAATATAAAATTTAATGTCTTAGTTTTGCACGAAGATCCAACATACAACCATATAAAAGATTGGGCGTAATGTTCATAAGAGACACCGAAGTTTTTTGTGGAAACCCCTGAAAATGGAGAAAAAAACACAGGGCCTGATCTAGTTTAAATGAATCCACTATCATTTGCAGTCGATTACAAATGAGGCCCTCCTTGGGGAGAAGGCCTTGGGTTGATGTAGCAAATGTACATCATATTATATGATTAGAATTGAAAGAATTAGTATTGAAACATTTGTTCAGTCAGTAGGCGACAGAGGTCGGAAAGACTGTAATCTGCTGACAGTGGTCGAAAGGATCGTTGTCTAGCAAGGGAGGTCGGAAGGATCGTAGTCGGTGGGAGATAGTGGTTAGAAAAATCATTGTTTATTGATGGAGGTCGATAGGACTGTAGTAGGCGACGGAGGTTAGAAGGACCATAATCGGCAGGAGTCAGGTAATAAGGGTCAGAAAGATTATTATCTAGCGATGGAGGTCGGAATGACCATAGCAGGCGATGGAGGTCAGAAGGACCGTAGTCTGCAGGAGATAGGGGTCCGAAAGATCGTTATATGGCGATGGAGGTCCAAAGAACCCTAATATGCGACAAAGGTTGTAAGGATCGTAGTCGTTAGGAGAAGAGATCATAAAGACTGTAATCTAGCGATGAAGGTCGGAAGAACCGTAGTAGGCGATGGAGGTCGGAAGGATCAAAGTCGGCAGGAGACAAAGGTCAAAAAGATTGTAGTCGTAAGGCAGTGCTCCGACAGAAATCCATGTGTTATTCGGTGGTCTGGTGGAACTTTGACTTCTATTGGTGGCCTAACAAAAGTTTGGGCATCAGTCCGTGGTCCGACGAAACTCCGGCGGCGGCGATGGTCCAACGGAACTCCGGCATCAAGCGGTGGTCCTAACAAAAGTCCCGCGTCATGTGGTGGACCGACTGAAGTCCGGCATTAGGCGATGGTCCTGATAGAAGTTTGGGGTCAAGCGGTGGTCCGGTGGCCAGAACTCTAGTGTCACGTGGTGGTCCGACAAAACTACGATGTCAGGCGGTGGTCCGATAGAACTCCGGTGTCGAGTGGTGGTCCAGTAGAACTCTTGTGTCAGGCGGTGGTCCTAACAAAAGTCCAACGTCAGGTGGTGGTCCTGACAAAAGTCCATCGTCATGTGGTGGTCCGACGGAACTCCGACATCTCGCGGTGGTCCTGACGGAACTCTGATGTCAGGCGATGGTCCGGCAAAAGTCCGGAGTCAGGCTGTGGTCCTGAAAGAAGTTTGTCATCAGGCAGTCTCCTACGTTAAGTGGTGGTCCATAAGAACTCCAACGCAGAGCTTTGGTCTGACAAAATTTTGGCATCATGTTGTGGTCCGGTAGAACTCCACGCGTCAAGTGGTGGTCCGGCAGAACTCTGGGGTGAGGTGGTAGTCTGACAAAATTCTGGCGTCAGGTGGAAGTTCGGCTTCAGGCGATGGTTTGGCAGAACTCCGACATCGGACAGTGGTACAGTAGAACTCTGGCATTAGGTGGCAATCCGGCAGAACTCCGGCATCAGGTGGTGGTCCGATAGAAGCCAAGCGGTGGTCGAGGAGGAGCAAGGAAGCAAAAGCGATCTCCAATATCTCTCTTGATTCCTTGCTTGGGGGTCCCCTTTCATGAGAAAGGGGGGCTCTATTTATAGATTTTATAGAGAGACATGCCTTGTAAATAGATGGAAGATCAACGGTAAGTTGGAGTTGGATGTTTGGATGGACGGCTGATCTTGATTCCCTTGGTCATAGACCATTTACTGGACATTTGAATGTCTTAGTGATTTCAAAATTCAGTGATCTTGGGCTCGTTGGTTTCGTCAAGTCGAGTTGCTCGATTCGACTATAAGTATGTCATTTTTGGTAATCTAAATTGTGGTTTGAACCTACCAACAATCTTCAAGTCCTTGTTTTGATCATTTGGGCTCGAATTGAGTCGATTTTGGTGTCGTTGGGTTCTTAATTTCGAGACACTCGGATTGACTATAAGTTTGCTAAAATTGGAGTTCGAATGGTCCCAATTTTAATTTCGAAAGTTTCCAACTTGATTTTGCTTCAAGATTTGTGCCCAAACAAGATGATTTATCAATATTATTAGTATAATTCAAGTTGGATGGATGAAGTGGAGGAATGTATCAAGCTTGTTGTGTGATAGAAAAGTAACTCTCATACTTAATGGAAAATTCTATAAGATGTTAGTGAGACCATCAATGCTTTATGGTGCAGAGTGATGGTCATTTAAACAGAAGAATAATAATAAGTTAAGTGCTACAGAGATGAGGAAGCTCAAGTGGATGAGTGGCTTTACTCTTAGAGACAAAAAATGAAATGAGCATATATGTGAAAAAGGTTGGAGTAGCACCAGTAGAAAAATAATATTAGAGAGAGTCGTCTTAGATGATTTGGTCACATAAAATGACAGCCTTCTGATGATCCGGTCAGAAAAGTAAATGCATTACATTTGACTTATGTTAAGAAAGATAGAGGTAGATCTGAAAAGACTTGGTTATAAAATATTAAAAATGACATTTTTTAATTATATTTAAATGGTAATTTGACTCTTAAAGAAAAGTAAATGCATTACATTTGACTTATGTTAAGAAAGATAGAGGTAGATCTGAAAAGACTTGGTTATAAAATATTAAAAATGACATTTTTTAATTATATTTAAATGGTAATTTGACTCTTAAT